AGGATCCTTGTTCTAAGGACCCCAAAATAAGGTACCCCGAATTTCCGGCAACTCCCATAATGAGGTTCCTTGCTTATGGCATCTGAGATCGTAAGGGAGCCCCTCCCTGCCTAAGAAGTAGCTGATGGCATCCACAGGCTCTCCAGCAAAGCGCACGCGAGCCGTAGGGCGGCTGCCGTCTCGCTCCTTGATTAGACTCAAACTGTTGATGATATAAGTCCTGCATTACCCATAATAAGGAATATACCATTATTCCCATAGTTCAGGGTCTTTAAGGCAATGCAGGATTTCTATCATCTCATCAACCGTAGGACCCATGTAGGATCTGGCACTGGCACATGTAGGGGACTTGATGATTAGACTAAGGTTGCAGGGTACCTTATATAAACCAAGAACGACCCAAAGTCCTTTTTTGCATCCAGGCCTCCGTTAAGCCTCAACCCTCAAGCCCTAAACCTAAAAGCTTCAGGCCCCTACGTATATTCCTAAGTTGTGGGGGCTGGGCAGTCCTGGGGGCAAAGCTTCAGGGCTTCAGGCTGAAGTTGGATTTTGGGGCATATATGTGATATAGTACTAATGAGGAACCCTTACTTGTGTTGGTCAAGTGTAAGAAGGAAGGCTTAAACCTTGAGAAGAAACCCAAAGCTTTGGGAGTTTAGTCTATGATGTGCCTTGCTTGTCAGGGTTTACGCTCTCATGCACCTGCACCATCCATTTCAGCGCGTCCATTGCCCTGGTCCCGCCGAGGACTCAGACCCTTTGGGGAGCGTTGTACCAAGCGCAGTGCCCGGTATCCTGCACGATTCCGGGATCCGGTAGGGAAGCGTGGCATGCCACTCGCAGGTGGCCACCGTGGGGACTTGAAGGCCATCATGACGAACTTGTGATGCTCCCGCCACTGCGGATGCTCCGCGCTCCACAGCCTCAGCGTCTCGGGCGTCTCGCAGGGAGCCTCCTCGAGCGCAGCCTCCATCGCCAGCTCAGGCTCCAAGGTGTACTTGGAGGTTCATGGGTAGCTATAAGTAGGTTTATAAGTCCCCTAGTATGGTATATATATATATACTATCAGTATAGTTACCCTACTCATATCCCTACTAAACACTACGCATGAACTTCCAAGTACTTCGACCCAGCCAAACCCGAAACCTCAAACTCTAAACCCCAAACCACACAATACAGGGGCCTTAATAGTTAGAATAGGGTTTTGGGGCCAGTATACTATAATCATAATAAGAAACCCCCACAATAGTAAAGGTAATTATTAAGGCCCTCCTTGGGATCCGAAACCCTACCGTTTTAAGGGCTCTATCCTCGAATTGAAGGGTCATAACCTACTATTTTTGTAGGGTTTGGGGTCACAGGCTTACAGTAAAGTAGAAGCCAGAAAGTTGGAACATTAGACTCCTCATGCCCTTAAGGTAAAGGATAAGGGATCCTAGCACTAATCCTCCTAAAGCCATGTTCCAACTTTCTGGCTTCTACCGTAAGACGACGCAAGCCGAGTTTCGAGGAGCCGCTCCGACTCCCTCAGCCGACCTTTGGCGACCAAGCGCTCCTGGGAGTTCTTTTGGGTTTAGGGCTTTAGGATTTAGGGTTTTAGGGTTTAGGGTAAAAGTTTTAAGTTTAGGATTTAGGGTTTTAGGATTTAAGGTTTTGGGATTTAGGGTTTTAGGATTTAGGGTTTTAGGATTTAGGGTTTTAGGATTTAGGGTTTTAGGGTTTAGGGTTTTAGGATTTCGGCGCTCGCGCTCGGACAATCCAGGCGAGGCATATAGGTTTAAGGTTTTAGGGTTAGGGATTTAGGATTTAAGGTTTTTGGATTTAATGCCTTTGGATTTAGGGTTTTTGGATTTAGGGTTTTGGATTTAAGGCTTTTGGATTTAGGGTTTTAGGGTTTTAGGATTTAAGGTTTTCGGAATTAGGATTTAGGCTTTTTAGGATTCGGGGTTTAGGATTTTAGGGTTTGGCTTCGGGATTGAGGGTTTAGGGCTTTAAGGCTTTAGGGTTTGAGGTTTAGGGCTTTAGGGCAACTTTAGGGCTTAGGGTTTACATAAATAGGGTTTAGGGCTTTTGGGTTTAGAGCTTGTGCCACCCGCCCAGCTGAACAATGTCGCATCGCAAGAAAACTCGTCCGAATCTAGCGACAGCGACTGAGGAGTTTCCCAGAGACTCCAATATCCCTGAATTAAGGAATATTCCGTAAATTACAGTAGGATCCCGAATATGATTCAAGGAAGATTCCATAGATTAAGGGATATTGGAGTCTCTGGGTTAGGGGGCAAACGAACTCCAAGCAAACAGGGCCAGGATTCAGGTTTAGGGCTTTAGGGTTTAGGGTTTTCGGATTTTTTGACACTCACACTCGGACAAGCCTGGCAAGGTCTGCAGAAGACTCGTTATCAGCCCGGTTTTCGGATTTAGGGTTCACGGCTTTTCAAGTTTTAGGTGCAAAAGGAGCCAACAAACATCTACGACTTCAATGGCTTGGGGGTAAGGTGTTGAGGACTCAGGATTTATGGGGTTTTGGGTCTGAGGGCTTGGGGTGAGTTTACCCAAAGCCCAAAGCTCTCGAAGGGCCTCGACCCCTAATGCTAGGCATCTGTTTGTACAAGCGAGGTTAGATGGAGGGTTCTGGGACCAGCAGTCTCAACCCACCAAAACTAAACAAATGCTCGCTATTTGGGTGTCCAAGTCAACTCTAGCTAATTAAACCCCAAACCCCAATTAAACCCCTAAAGCTTAAAGTCCTGTCGGGGTTGAAGGCCTTCGGGTGCAGGTATAGGTACTATAGGGGCCTTCATAATTAGTATAGGGTTCCTGGGTGCTATAAGGGATCTATAAGATACTATAATGTAGGGGCCTTCATAATTAGTATAGGGTTTTGGGCTATGTTATATACTGTGATTATAATGCAGAACCCGAAAATGGTATTGGTAAAAAAATTATGATCCTATACTATACCAATGATACCCTTGAATGTTTACAGCCTTCTTTACATGTCCCTTATCATTTAGGGGAACTACTGGAGAACCTTTGTGATCATAGAGGGATTTAGGATTTAGGTGCACCGAAACGGCTCAAGGTTACCCTTGTCTAATGCGCGAAGCCTTGCAAGCTGAACGGAACAAGGCTCGAATGAGAGTTGATCCAGTAGCTGTGTGTGCCGGACCTGGGCACGGGGTTTGTTCGGAGAGTATATATAGCCTGGCTTTTTCTAATATTTTTTGGGGTGTAAGATACTTAAAGCTCTGGGTTTGGGTCTCGGAGCAGGGTGATCTAGGGCTTCTTTGCTCCTTGTTCCCCTCCTTGGCGTGGGGTTGTTAGTGTCGAAGGCAGACCTTCTCCTCACCCTCCACCCGCACCTAGTCCATGGTTGGGATAGGATTAGACATGTATATGTTCATTCCTTACTGGGCTTAAGTATCCATAAAAAATGTAAAAGGTTTCCCAACTATGGCAATGGCACTCGTATCCGACAAGGAATGCTAAGGAGTCCTTATCCTGGAGGTGCCTAGCCCCAGAGTCTACCAAAGCAGTCCTGAAGCGTTCGTGCCCAGAGTTAGTCCACTGAGCACGCCACCAATCGATGATTGGGGTGAGGATGTTCAAAGTATGTGTCTGTACATCTGTATGTGCATACATATGTGTGCATTTTCATATATGTATGTATGTATGTATGTATGTATGCATTTATGTATGTGTATATATATATATATACACATCAATATCTATACATATATATATATGTACATATGTGCATGCATACATATCTCTTCTGCTCTTTGGATGAAGGAAGTGGTGTGATTCGCGCTCTTTCATGGTCTCGGGGAACGCTTGCAGGTCGATCGGTAAGGGTTTCTATGCAATGTCCTAGAAGGATTGTTTCGCGGTCTCCTAAATTGCGAATGTGCAAAAATCAATAATTACAGCGCTGCCCCCTACAAATTCGGGCATACTGTACTCCCCTTGGTCACGGGGTTGTGAAGTCTTTGGGGGGGCCTCCATCAAGTCTCTTTCCCCTGAACACAAGAACCTCTGAGTGCTACCACACTGTTCGGGGAACATAGCGGCTATCAACCAACAGCATTCCTAATACTCCGACCCCTATGTTACGGCTTCGGGTATGAGGTCCCATGGCAACTTTTCCCAGACGCCCAGCTGACAAGTCGCACCGCAGGAAAGTCGCTTTGTGTCCGATGATAACAGCGGGGCATGGCTGAGCTGTGGCAGTACACCAGGATGGTTGCATAGGAATCTCATCTGCTAAGCTGCTTCCCCAAAGGCCGCACATAGCGAGGGATGGTTCTTACTCCGCCTTTTCCCATAAGGACACCCTGAAGATACGCTCGCCAATATTCCCATGTTGCACCCACCAGCACCCTTATACAAACCCTACTTCCTATGAGTTGCGAGGCTTACCAAGCCGGGGCTCACTAATTTATGTAGGGCCTCAATAACTTAGAATAGGGTTTTAGGGCCCATTTTACTATAATGAGAATGAGGAACCCCCCAAGATAGGCAGGTAATTATTTAGAACCCTATACTAACAACCCTTATGGTAGCCCTTGTAGACCCCTTCAAAGGAACCCTAGGAACCCTATAGGTAATTGTTTAGGCCCCTTTATTAGGGCTCTGCCACACGTGCACGGAACCATCGGAGAAGCCCCCGAAGAGGCGTCGGCCTTGAGGATCCCACTTTACCTGGTTCTTAAGGTAGGGTTTAGGGTTTACGGCTTAAGGTAATAAAGGAACCTGTTTTTTTCTTTCTTTACAGATGGTTGTGCGATGTAGGACTTCACAAGATGTTTCAAACGGTTTATGAGGTTCTTACACAGGAGCACAGCGAAATAACCAGGGCAGAGTTGATGGGTATTATAGGGGCCTTAATGTTTAGAATAGGGTTTTGGGGCCCGAAAAACTATAGTAATAATAAGGATCTCCCAAAAACCCTATTCTACTTACCCAGGTCCTTACATTACTAATGGGCGAGCCAGTCACTGCTAAGCCGGCGAGGCCCTCATCCGGCGGGCTGACGGCCAGCAGGCACGTCTTCGTCTGGAGATCGAAGACACGCACTCTTCCACTCTGCGACATCTCGGTGATGGCCTCGGGGTTAAGGTGTAGGAAGAAAATTAGCCCATTTATCATCGAACCCTGAACTCTGTATTAGTGGTCATCTACCCGAATAAGAGAACATGATTTGGCTACAGTACAGCCCTAGTGGAGCAACTGAAGCTCAATTGTTTAAGAAAGGCCCAGATGCTGCCAGCCAGAACTCAAGTGGGTTGAAGTCGAGCGCACGGATGATGCCATCGACCGCAAAGGCATAGGCGACACACCTCCTCGACTTTGGAGTTACCAGGGAGAAAACAGTATAGACTTTTATTTCACAGTGCTTCAAGGGACAACTCCAAAACAAGTATTCAAGTATTGTACTCCAAAACCAGGCATCCCCTTTAAGTCCAAGACGAGGATGGTACGGTCGGAACCACCCGAGGCGCCAAGTTTGGAATCCGGAGAGACAGCGACGGCGAGCACAGGTCCAGTGTGAGCCTTAATTACTTCTCTCCGGTGGCCTAGGAGAAGTGGTAGGGTTCAAGGTGTAGGTATGTGGCTTATGGTACCCCAAAGAGGCTAAACGTTAAAGCTTCTCTAGCTGAACCCCAAAATTGCTTACTCTGACTCTGTTCTTGTCGGCTATCATGGGGAACTTGGTTACATAGGGGGTTATATAGGGACTATACTACCCAAAAAAAGGATAAAGGTCATCTACTCTCCTACTAGGCTCAGGAACTTTTATCTCCCACAACATTTTCATGTCCTTGGTGTTCCAAACCTTCACAGTTTTGTCCCAGCTGGCGGAGAGAACATAATCTGCGTCCGTGTCCCTGCTCCAGGCCAGAGCTGTGACCCAGTCTTTGTGGTCCCCATCCTAGTTCATGGTTGGGATATTGTTAAACATGAACAGTTCTATTCCTTAGTTGGGTTTAAGTACTCGCAAAATGCAAAATGCTACCCGACTATGACAAAGCATCGTAAAGGGTGAATTTGCATTCTCCTAGGTTGTTCCAGACCTTGATTGTTCTGTCGCACGAGGCTGTGAGGATTATCCGATGGTCGGGCGACCACACGACTGCATTCACCTGGTGCCTGTGGCCGGAAAACGTGCGAATACAGGATTCGTCCTCTTTTTCATCCAGGGTCCAGAGCTTGACACTCCGATCCCAGGAACTGGATAGCGCGAAGTCTCCGCCGCTTTCCTGGGTGAGTCTTCAGCAAGTTCACCTACGTTACCATAATGGGAATAGCATTATGCTGTCCTTATCATAATAACTTTAATAACTCCAAGACAGGACCCAGACTCCAGTATGGCCTGGGAAACGACGTCGCTATGCCCCCGAAGGGTTCTCTTCGCGGAGGCCACGGGAACCTTCTTGGTCTTGGAGCTTCCGTCTGCAGTGTCCTCGTGCACCTCCCAGACACAAAGCGTCCGGTCTTTCGACGCGGTCAAGAGCTTCTTGCCGTCCTGATCAGGGAAAATACCGTAAGTCCTAAGCCCTAAGCCCTAAATCCTAAACACAGAAGCCCTGTTGTATACCTGGGCCATGCATATGCAGAGAACCGGAGGCACCGACTGTGCCGCAGACCCGTGTCCGGCCACTAAAGCGACCCTTAAACTCTAAGCGGCCCTCTACCCCCCAAACCCAGACCTCGGAGAAAGACAGGGCGGTGACACCAGCCCGGTGTCCATCCAAACGGCCCTCGTAAGCCATAACGGCCGACTTCGCCATGCCCCGCTGCAAAAAACAGAAAACCCATACAGCCTACTTTGAGGATCAGGGGACTTAGTAAGTTAGGTTGTAAGTACCCTAATTGGGGTTATAAGTAATTATAAGTATGATTACCTTTTAAACCTAGTTACTAAGTCCAATGATCCTCAAGTAGGATCTATATCGCAGACCCTAAAGCCTACAACAGGAAGAAACTCTCAAAGGCTTGAAGTTCTTGTGAGGCATGAATGATCAAATTCCGCCACCGGTAGAATCGACAAAAACCCTTTTACACCTGGACTATGCATATGCCAGGAACCGAGGTGCCGAATGTGCTGTGGACTCGACAAAAACCCTAAACCCTAAACCCGTACAGGCTACAGGCGCTTTTCTCATCTTCTCCACTCGTCATTCTAGCTACCTTGAGCCGATACCCTCGGAATCCCCGAACAGAAGCCTGAACAACTAGTATGAGGATTCCCTTATGGTCCTTTTTGTATAGGAAGAAGTATGTGTTTAAAGGTATATGTTGATGTATGCATATATGTGGATGCATATGTTCATCTATATATATATATATGCATCTGATTATAATGCCATAATAAACGTATGTAGGTATGTATATGATCATGCTACAACATAAGCCATGGGCTACTCAAGAGGGATCATGCTACATAGTATTTTGTATCTGCTGGCTTGTTTATGTGTATTCATACAGTCCACACATACACGGTATGTAGTGTAACTCACTCCTTAGGGATGTGAAGGGAATCTAGATGCGATGTTGCACTAAAAACAGAGGCAGCTAGTGCATCTTGCTTGACTGGATATCGCAGCAAGGCTGGATCCGCAATGCTCCGTGACGGCGCTGCACTCTGACATTCCATGATGACTCAGGAAATGCCCTTGTCATGCAACAAGGGCAAAACTGAAATACCCGTCAACCCTGCGTAGCCGAAAACCATAACCTAAACACCCTAGCGCTGAAAACTTTGATAACCTGCGAACTCTTTGAAGCTCTCATCCTAAGCTTTCACAAGGACGAGGAGCCATGTTTACCTGCATCACTCGCGCATCGAAAGTGGCAGAAAAGAACTGGCGCACCCGATCCTCTGAGGTCAGGGCTTTCGTTTTCAGGCCGAAAAACGCCCAGAAAATTGCGATTGGGATTCCCGGACACAACGCTTTTCATGGGAACCCCAAACCCCTGTTAAACCCCCCTTTGGCAGACTCACCCTTGCGAAAACAACACGTGCTTAAATCAGCCACTTTGAGTTGGTATGAGTTGACGGCTTTGGTGAAGAATATTCAAACCCTACATTCTCTGGACTGAACTTAGACCCCTAGCAAAATTCTAGCTTTAGTTGTTTCTTAGGGATTAAAGGAACCAAAGATTGAAAACCTTTTGAAAGTACTCCTAAGTACTTTATTAGTCTAGAGTCCAACGGCCTGAACAGCTTTTTGCGTTTCATAGCATACTCTGTAGACCCATACCGATGAACAACTCGCGGAAACCTCCAAAGAACTCAACGATTCCGAAACCCTTTAGTTAAGGAACATGACCTCCGTACTGTCCGGCGTTAGATTAAATACCAAATACAAACCGTATTTTTAACAATCTCCTGGCGTTTGCTAGTAGTAAAGCAGAGAAGGACTTCCGAAGAATACTCAAGGAGACGAGCCACAAACCCTGGAGTCAGCACTAATTATGAACCAAAATAAAAAATAAGTTTTCTAAGGAGACTACAGTATTCGGCCACAAGCAGCTACGGCAGGCTTCCGGGCTTCGGGGACTTGCACACTCGCACACAGGCAGGCATGGCTGCATGGCTTCGGCTCCGCTTTAGGGCTTCAAGGTGTAGGGGCATCAGGGTGAAGGGGCACGTAAGTTTCAGAAGAACATGACTGAAATCCAGACACACCTCTTTAACACGCAATGACCTGGCAATCAAGCCCGACCATAGTGGTTGATGTCAACCCCTGATAACAAACACCGGTACCTGAATCCTGTGACTGGTCTAAAACCCCTAAACCTGAAACCCTTACACAGAAACAAGACAAACCTAACCACGCTAGCCCAAACTTTTAACCCTGAACGGGGGCTCTGCTTGCAGGCTCATACCTTACAAGTGGGGGTTCAAGACAGATGACAAGTATATGTCAACAGAAACAATCCTAAACCCTAAACCCAAAGCGTAAAACCCTAAATACGTATATTACTTACTAGTATAAATACAAACCTGTCATCTCGAGCCCTCCTTATGCCGCCCCCTACTCTGATCTGCACCACAAGTTATAACACCCTTATGGGACTTTCCGAAAATAGGGCAGCATGATATAGCACCCTAAGTAGGATCCCGACTATAAGGACCCCAACATAAGGTACCGCTAGTTTTTGAAAACTCCCTTATGGATCCGTGACCCTTCATGTAGGAGTTTCCGAAAATTAGGGGTATCTTATTGTGGGGTCTTTTTAACAAGGATCCTACTATTTAGGGTTTTTTCTTCCATGATGGTCTCTAAACCGTCAACCCCGAAACCCGTTTAGGGTACTATATTAGGGTCCCCTATTATCGGAAACTCCTAGCGGTTTTCAGAGTTAGGTCCTCGGAGCGACATTCTTCTGGGATGCCCTCCACAAGGATGGTGCTGCATCTGGGCATGGTGTGGGGCTCCATGGGCTTCAGAGGTTCAGGCTTTAGAGTTTAGGGTTTAGAGTTTAGGATTTTTTTTTTGTTTTGAGCTCCTTTTCTCCAGGGGTTTAGGGTTTAGAGTTTAGGGTTTAGGGGAGAGATTTTGTTTGAGCTCTTTATTATGCTTGTCCAACCATCCGAGCTAACTTAAGGCCACTGGCACCTCCTGGGGCTTAAGAGGTTTAGGCTTCAGAGTTTAAGGCTTTTGGAGTTTGGGGTGCACGGTGTGGAGGGCCGGGCTCGGGTCGGAAAATGAGCCCGTTGTTTTCTCGTTTACAAGTAGTAGACTAATGGACAACAGATGTCTCTTCGTAAAGCTGAAAACGCAGGGGTCGTTTTCCGAAATGTAAGCGGTGTAGGGCTTAGGTAGTGCCGGGTGCTTCAAGATTGTTTTGGGTCTCTGGAACGTCCCGGAGGGTTTTGCAGGGTGCTGCCGGGTTCTAAGGTAATTAGCTTCAAGGATCAGGGACAGAGTTATAAAGGGCAGCTACAGCCAATCCCCAATCATGGCCCAAGTAAGGTCTCCCTATCGGTCCAAGTAGTCCTTGTCTATGGCTTTTGGTACCTAAGCCGTCGCAAAAGTCCTATAGTATTGAGAACTCGGACCCTTAGGGTATCATATGGGGCTCATCTTGGGGTCCGTATAATAAAGATCCTACGATTTAGGGTACTTTACGGTCCCCTAGTCTTGGAAACTCCCATATCACTACGTATTAAAAGCCTGACTTCAAGAGGGAAAGTCAAAGCATCGGGCCGCGGGGACTCGAGACCAGAAGAACTCCCGTAAAGGTGGACATAGAGGTAGTACCCCTACTAATTATTTTGAAGGTTCCTTCAAAGTTTAAAGGCTTCCTTAAAGGGGTCT